TCTTCCGCACTTTACATACCAAATTCTGTGAAACAACGTTTAGATTGTTAGCCCGGCATTTGAGTGGATCTGTTTGCTCTATTCATAGAATTTAAGCATTGTGTCGAACGTCCGATTTTGGGCGCACGCATAGTCGGTCGTCCGACAGCAACGATCGCAACTGTCTGACTGTCTACTGCATCTAATCGTCGAATACTCAGGCAAGTCCGACGATCGATACGCATCCAATGCTGTGCGACACTTGCAGTCGTTGCTGTCGTCCGACCGACTATGCGTCCGGCCTAATCTTTCTCCATCCCCGTCCCATCCAAACCACTCAGCATACGGCCGCAGCGGTGGCCCTGACGTTCCCGCCAAAAAATGTTTCGCGCTGCGAAATGCGAAAAAGTCGGTTTCTGACCTAGTGAACCACTCCTGGACACGCGCAACTAATTTGTCTTGTTGGGCGAGTCGTTGCTTTCCTGGTGAAATTCTGAGATGCTAGACAGAAAAACAATCAATTTACTAGCATACAGGTCTTAGGAAAAAATAGAGCGCACGACAAATTAGGTAAAAGCAGTTTTATGTTGGTCTAGATTCTTTGATACAATCAATGCCTTGTTACCTTGGTGGCGAAGAATGAAGGGAGTGATATATTAGCCAGCGCGTGACCATCCAATATGTTTCCAATTTTAACGCGCTGTGAGCTGGTAAGGTGAAAGCCGTCTATACACATCTATTTTACTGGCTGAGTGTTAGCGCCATCTGGACTAATAAACCAACTGTGATTTCATGGTTTTTCGGTTACACTTGGTGGATTGTTCGTCCGAAACGGGCGGGATTCAGCTTTGAATCACCGACCACATTATTTCATGAGGTCTGCTGTATACGAAGGATGCATCGTTAGACCGCTTCTGATCAAAAGCCGAACTACACTTACTGATCTCAGTCGTAGGGGCCGACTTGTTGAGCAAGTTAAGGGGTGTACGCGAATATTGAATAAGGCGTGTCCAGTGCGACTTTCTCAAGAGCATGAGGAATTGACCACAGATGGAAGTATCGGGTTGAGCATGCGAACAAGGCTTAAAATACAAGCTCTGCGAATTCCCAAAATGATTAGCTCTTTCCTATGTGCAGAGGAAAGACGAAATCGAAAATGTCGAGTGCTTCTGGGCAGGCCGTGAAGCGAGTACATGCGAAAATAATTTAGAAAATTCCTCGGTATTCGTCATGGGTTACTGAGTGCTCATTCAGTAGATCTCTTGAGTATTCAATGAGATTCCGAAGGATTCAGCAGTAGAGGAATGAGGTCAATCAAATTCTAGGTCGTAACTCAGCGGTGAATTGAACCTGAGTAAGGCTTCTTTCATAGTTTGCGGTCCGTGCGTATGGCGCGGACAGGGTGAAAACGTCAACACGCGCTCTGGCGCACAATGCGTACTTGGCGCGCAGTCGGCGCCTCCCTCGATCGATAATCCTAATTTCGATACATTTTTTCTGTATTTTGACGTTTTGTGCCGTTTTGCTTTTTCTTGCGGTTGTTTAGCCCAAAACTTTTCCTTTTTGTATGGATTACTGCTTTTGCTTGTGTTTTTTTTGGCGAGAACCTTTTTTCTTTTTCGTGTGAATCATTGCTTTTCAACTGTCCTAGAATGGTTAGGTTCATACACTGTGTTTGAAAGTGGCAATAAGCACCAAGTGGGTTCATTAGTAAGCAAAAGCAGTAATCCATACAAAAAGGAAAAGGGCGCAATGTGGCTCGGGGGGGGGCACTCTGAGAAAAGTCATCTAGGACTAAGCCTAAACAGCAGGGACGAACTCCGGAGAATACGAAAATTGCTTCCGTACACCGGAGTTCCTCTCCTCTTCAAAAGCGCGTCCTAAAACGGAGCGATATGGATGGTCACGCGCTGGCTAATATATCACTCCCTTCATTCTTCGCCACCAAGGTAACAAGGCATTGATTGTATCAAAGAATCTAGACCAACATAAAACTGCTTTTACCTAATTTGTCGTGCGCTCTATTTTTTCCTAAGACCTGTATGCTAGTAAATTGATTGTTTTTCTGTCTAGCATCTCAGAATTTCACCAGGAAAGCAACGACTCGCCCAACAAGACAAATTAGTTGCGCGTGTCCAGGAGTGGTTCACTAGGTCAGAAACCGACTTTTTCGCATTTCGCAGCGCGAAACATTTTTTGGCGGGACTCGGCCACGCTGCGGCGTATCTGAGTGGTTGGATTTCGCGATGGAGCCTAGATTGGGCCGGACGCATAGTCGGTCGGACGACAGCAACGACTGCAAGTGTCGCACAGCATTGGATGCGTATCGATCGTCGGACTTGCCTGAGTATTCGACGATTAGATGCAGTCAGACAGTCAGACAGTTGCGACCGTTGCTGTCGGACGACCGACTATGCGTGCGCCCTTAGGCCGGACGCATAGTCGGTCGGACGACAGCAACGACTGCTGCTGTCGGACGACAGCAACGACCGCAGGTGTCGCATAAACCGCGGTCGCAAATGGAAGGCGACGCGGTCACCCAATGCAAAC